TTCTAGAATCTTCCCCTTGCCCGGGTGTATTCTTGGCCTCACAATCCTGTTCTCAATATGGATTCTCACTTCTTGCTGAAAACTGTTTTTTTCTGCCTAGAATCACCCACTCACCTGACTCAGAGAGTCATACAAGTTGCATACTATAAAAATATCCTTTGCCATGGCATGTGCACCCTTCATTCCTTTACATTTGGATAAAACAGCAGCACGTGTCCATGTGACTAAAGTTTCTATCCCTTGGCTATGGTCAAATGCCCTTCTTTGTCTATAACTTTCAAGATGAAAAGATTTTCACCAGAGACTTGAACATACCTAGCTGCTGTTACAGCCTTCACCAGAGGTAATAACTAGCTGTTTTAAAAGCTGTTCAGTCTCAACAAGACAGCCACCTTAAATCAGTCTGTATCTGTTAGTCACTTCGAAACTGAACTGTATGAACCACTGACGGATTAGAGATTTTACAGCCTCCATCTTAGAGAACAGAGAGAGTGGAGAGAAAACCCTCATCTCTTCTCCATGACTGCTTGGAGGGAGACCTGAGGACATCTGACTTCCCTTTCATAGACTGTTAGTTGTTTTCACCTTTACAGTAGACTGTAATCTGATTCCCTTGGATGGTCCCACAGAACCACTTATCATTTTCCAAAGCATCCACATCAAGACTGAACCTGGCTGCTGGTACTCCTTCTGCCTTTTATCTCCTTCCAAAAAGGGCTCCCGAGAATAACTCTCTAAAATCAACATGAGCTTCAGACCTCGGTTCTCTCTGACAACTGGCCACGTGATGACGATAAAACTCTCAACCAGCAGGCCTCTCACGGGTTCCAAAGCAACACACTGAACAGAGACAGGCAGACAAAGCCAGCTGCAAAAGATACCAAAGGCCCGGCTTCCTCCCAGAGGCCCTGGGTAGAGCAACCACGGCTCAGGGAAGGCTCTGGGTACTCTCTCAGGACTGCCCACTCCAACAGCCGTGGATTTCATGCTCATCACTCTTATATCTTCAAAGAGAAACAGTTTTCACTGGCACAATATGTAGGGACCCAGAGAGAGATTTAAAAAAAAAAAAAAGCAAAAAGCAACCTTTCAACATAGCAATTCTCAGATTACAGCTTTTGGCTTCAAATGGAGATTACTTGAATAATATTTTGTCTGTGGAGAGCCTTAAAATGAGTGGGGTTTTTTTTTGGGGGGGGTGTCTCTTTTCTATCTGTGACTAACAGAACCTCTTAGATTTCTTTTTTTTTTAAAGGCAGTTTCCTTCTTAAATCTATCCTACAAATCTATCAACTTTGTTCTGACAGTTAAATCAGAACTAAATTGGACAAAAATATCACACAACAGAACAAAGGCTGTGAATTGAATTAGTTATATACAACCAATTCTCCATCTGGAGCAAAGGTCTGATGCTGTTTTGATTTCTAATTTTTTTATGATTCATCTGTTTTGTATGTGTATAAGTATCTTTCCTGCATTTACGTATGTACGCCACGTGTGTGCCTGATGCCTATAGTGATCACAGCTGGTACTGGGTACTCTGGAATTGGTTGTGAGCCACTATGTGGGTGCTGGGAATCAAACCTGCGTCCTCTGCAAGAGCAGCAAGTGCTCCTAACTGCTGAGCCACCGCTCCAGCCCCTGGTTATGTTCTTAAAGGCTTAAGTACTAAGTAAGAACTGTTTCATGTCATGAGGAGTGGATACATTTGCTGGACAACAGGGCAACCTTCCAAAACACAGCTGTGACTCCAGCAGGTGCAGGACTGAGGCAGGAGGATGGTGAGTTCTGGGCCAGTGTAGACCACATAATAAGAATCTGTCTCAAAAAAATACTGAGGTGAACTCTGATACATGCTAAGACACATACGAACTTTGAAGACAAAGTGTAGGCCCATCACCAAAGGGTTGACTCATCTTAAGGGAGAGCTATTTAATATGCATAATGTCTCCACTGCAGGAGACGTATGGTACGTGATGCCACCTGTGCATGTAAAGATGCATATTGTATTTTAACACTGGTTTAAGAAAACAATCATGATGTAGTTCTAGCTCCCAGATAATAGGCCATTCTTTCAGAGAAGTTCAGACTTCGACTCCTTCAGTTCCCTGTCTTCCACCTATACCATGCCCTGGTTACTGGGCAACAGTCCATTTCCTCTCCTGTCCCTCCTTGCTCTTTCTAAAGCCACACAAGGAGTCACTATCTTTTCAAGTTTTCTAGCCAACCTGTACCAGTCCTTTGAATTTAAAACTTCCCACAATTCCCCACAGCCATCAGCGCTCTAGGTAGGCCCTCTCCAACCTCATTCCTCACGACTTTCCTGCCACAAGCTCCAAGCTCTGCGAGTCCCGACCGCTACAGTCTGTCACATGGTGCCTTGGAAATGCTTCCCTGTTTCTCCCCCATGAGATGAGCAGTGATTTTTCTAGAAGACTCCAGACAAACCTCAGAATGTCTAGACTACCCCAAAAAGTTAACTACAAACTGCCTGACCATGCTGAGCATGAGAATGCAGTGTACACCTGACCAGGATGGACATGAGGATGCAGTGTACACTTGACCATGCTGAGCATGAGGATGCAGTGTACACCTGACCAGGATGGA